AAATTCTGTAAAAATAAAATTACAGAGAGTGAACAAAAGTATCTACACACTTTTTTATTCAATATAAAACTTAAAATATTTTTGCAATAACAATAAAAAACCAATTAATTTTTTATTTAAAGCTGATTAATTTCTACATTTTGTACTAAGTAACTAGTACTTAGTTAGGCTACAATTTGCCATAATCACTACTTGAATTTGTTGTGACATACTATCGACTAGATTTTTGATAGTATGCTTCAGAATTTTCTACCATGCTTTTTTAACATATCAGTCAAGATCAGCAAGATTAGATAGAGATTTTTTATAAGCTCGGATGCTTTTCTTGACTTTAACCTAAAGATTTTTAATTGGATTAAGATCAGAACTTTAAGCTAGCCATAATAATGTATGAAGATTATTTTTTGCTTAAAAAATCATTGCAGTTAATTCTTTGGTTTTTACCATTTTTTTAAGATTTTCAGAGAAGAAAAAATTTTTAAAAAATAAATAAATTTGTTATTCTTTATTTTTATAATATAAGTAAATACTTAAGTGTCATGTAAACACAATTTGTTATTGTAATCATATGACTTTACTAGCATTAATTCACGTTTATAGAGATGTATAGATACTTTTATTCATTCTCTGTATATCAATACTTATAAAAATATGAAATTATATTAAATCTTAGTAAAAAATAGCAAAACTATATTTTAGATATTTTGTCAAATACAAATTGAGTTTAGACAAGCAACCTTAATAATGACTTAAAAATTTTAGTATTAAAATTTTTATAATATTTATTTGATTAGATATTATATTTGAATTTTTAATAATATCTAAAATATTATATCATTATCATATTATCTCTATTTTTAGATATTTTTCCTTAGTTTTTAATAATTTATTCTTATTTTTTCATATTTATAATAAATCTTTTCTTTCTTTTATATTTATATATATTTGTATTTTTATTTTATTTTTTCACTAAGTTTCTTTTTAGCAATATAGATTACATAAGTATTTTATAGTTTTATTTCACTAGTTTTTTTATTTAAACATTTTATAATATTTTTTCTTCTTTTATTCTAAAAATATTTTAATTATTTTTTTTCTGTAACTTTGGTTATTTATTTTTCTAAATCTTGTAATTAATTTTTAATTTGTATTTTATTTTTCATTATCATATAATTTGTTATTAATTATATGATTATATTTCTTATTATATGATTATTTGCTATATGATTTATTATTATTATCATGTATTTGTGTTTAATAATATAATTTTAGTTAATATATATTTCTTATCTTATAACTTAATTTTACTTGATATTATGATTTATTTATTGCATGACTTTTGATTAATTTTTTTCTTTATAATCTTTAGTTATTTTCTAATCTTTTAATATTAGAATTCCTTTAATATTATTTTCTTTGTTAAAAAAAGTTATGTGATATATCATTTTAAGATTTCTTATCTCTATAGTATTTTAATGGTATGTAAAAAGAAAAATTTGAAAAAGGTAAAATTTGATTATAAAAAGATAAAGTTTGAATTAAAATTATTTTTTAAAAGTAAAAAAATTAAGCTTATTTATATAAATATTCTTATATATATTAAAAATAAATTCAAATAATATATTAAATAAATATTAAATTTAAAGTAAATTAGAAATACTTTATTAAAATAATTATTATAATAATATCAATAAAATTATCTTTATAAATAACTCCATTTTAGTAAATTCTCTAAATATTTGATATTATTTTAGCAAAGAAATATTAAATTATGAGATATTAATTTTTACTCAAAAAGTTGTAATTATATAGTATCAGTTCATCATATTTTAAATTAATTAGTATTGAAAATCTATTGAATTTTCTTAGTAAAATACAAAAGAATAATTAATTTAAATCTTCAAACAGTTCAGATTTATCTAAAAATTTTCAGTTCAGATTGATTTTAATTTAGATTTAGATTATATAAAAATTAATTTAAAAATTTCAAATAGTTTATTTCAAATGAATAATAAAATATTATTTAATTAAAATAATTAAAATTATCATTTTAAATAAACAATAAAAAAATATTTATTGAAATTATTATTTCAAATAAATGATAAAAAATATGGTTCAAATTGAATGATTAAAATTATTATTTCAAACAAATAATAAAAATATTATTTAAATAGATGATTGAAAATTATCATTTTAAATAAACAAAATATATTATTTATTTAAAATAATTAAAATTATCATTTTAAAATGAATAAGAAAAATATTGTTTATTTAAAATAATTAATATTATTTATAAATAAATGATAAAAATATTATTTAATTAGAATAATAAAAATTATTATTTTAAATAATAAAAATAATATTTAAATAAAATAATTAAGGTTATTTGTCTAAATTTATTTTGGATTTAACAAAATATCTAAATTATAGTTTTGCTAATTTTTACTATAATTTTTGATATAATTTTACTTTTTTATAAACTTTAATATAGTTTTACCTATTCTAGAATTTTGCAGATTTTTTAATATAATTTTGCTAAATTTTATCTTTTTTTATTTCAATGATTTGCAAAATTTTTAGATTTTATCTAGTAATCTTAGAAATGATTGATATTATTATTTATTAAAGTTATTAGTTAATTAAAACAATTGAAATTATAATTTTAAATAAATAATAAGAATATTATTTAATTAAATAATTGAAGTTATTATTTTAAATAAATAATAAAAATATTATTCACTTAAAATAATGAAATTATTATTTCAAATAAGGTTACTTTTTTAAATTTATTTTAGTTTAAGTAAAATAACTAAATTAGTTTTATTAATTTTTTATTAAAATTTTAATATAGTTTTATATTTTTATAAACTTTGATATACAGAGGGTGGACAAAAGTATTTACATATCTCTATAAATGTGAATTAATGCTAGTAAAGTCATATGATCACAATAATAAATTGCATTTATATGACACTTAAGTATTTACTTATATTATAAAAATAAAAGAATAACAAATTTGTTTTTTTTTAATAAAATTTTCTTCTCTGAAAATCTAAAAAAAAATGGTAAAAACCAAAGAATTAACTGCAATAATTTTTCAAGTGAAAAACAATATTTGTACATTATCTTAGTCAGCTCAAAGTTCTGATCTTAATTCAATTGAAAATCTTTAGGTTGAAGTCAAAAAAAGCATCTGAGCTTATAAAAAATCTCTCTAATCTTGCTGATCTTGATTGATATGTTAAAAAGATATGGCAGAAAATTCTGAAACATACTATTGAAAACCTAGTCAATAGTATATCACAATAAATTCAAGTAGTGATTGTAGCAAATGGTGGCCCAACTAAGTACTAATTACTTAGTATAAAATATAGATATTAATCAGCTTTAAATAAAAGATTAATTGACTTTTTATTGTTATTGCAAAAATATTTTAAGTTTTATATTGAGTGAAAAAGTGTGCGAATACTTTTATCCACTCTCTGTAGTTTTATCCTTTTTAAGATTTTATAAACTTTTTAATAAAATTTTAATAAAATTTTATTAAATATTACTTTTTACCATTTAGACAACTTACAAAACCTTTAAGTATTATCTAATAATCTTAATTTTAAATAAATAATAAAAATATTGTTTAATTAAAATGATTTAAAATTATCATTTTAAATGAATAATAAGAATATTATTTAATTAGAATAATTAAAGTTATTATTTTAAATAAATAATAAAATATTGTTCAATTAAAATAATTTAAATTATTATTCTAAATGATAATAAGAATATTATTTAATTAAAATAATTAGATTATCATTTTAAATGAACTAAACTTTGAGATCAATCTGAAATTTTTAGTTCAATTCAGATTTTTATTAATCTATAGTTCAGTTCAAATTCAAATTAACCTATGAATAAAAATGAATTGAATTATTATTTTGGCTATTAATTTAATTAATTAAAAATACAAAATATTAGTATATTTTTTTCTGAATTTTATTTTAATTAATATATTTTAGCTAATATTAATCAATTATAAATAAAATAAGTTAAATTTTAGCTGATTTTTAATATATATTAATTGGTTATAAGTATGCTAATTAGTTATAAATAAAATAGATCAAATTTTGACTAAATTTTGGCTGATTTTTAATTTATGTTAATCAGTTAAACAAATTTTTGATAATTTGCTAATTTTAAATTAATTATCACATATTTAATTTTTTTTTGATTTAATTAATATAATGAAATATTGAGTAAAAATTAATATAATAACAAATATTTAAAAATAAATGATTAGAGATTGGAATCGTATCATAAATAGTCATCTGGATACTTATGTAATTTTTAAAATTGGGTATTCAGTTAAAATTAGGTGGTAGTTAGCGTAATATTTAAAACAGTTTATTAACAATATATATTTTTTTCTTATTTGTTAAATAAAGTTATTTTAGTAATTGACTTAATTTTATTACATAAAATAAATTTATAACGGATTTAAGGAATTTTTATTAAATTTTAATTTATAATTCTATTAATAAAATAAAAAACTCTAACTAAAACATATGAATTGTGATTGAATTTCTCTTTAAAAACATCATTTTACCTACTAATTTTGAATTTAAACGTGTACATTTTGCAGTAATTTGATTACTTGTATTAGAAAATAATCTTTCACTAGATACTGATGAACTAGAAATAGATAAATACTTTCTAGCTAATTTAGCTACATTAGGAAATTGAGCTTTCTGAATTAACTATCACTCAAATGGATTCACATTATGATCAGCAATAGGTATACGAATAGGATCTAAATAACATTCTAATTTAAAAGAAGGATTTGCTATTGATATCTGTATAACAAAAATAGAGGAGTGTAATCAGCTATGGTATTATTATTGACTTAAGCTACCAGATGATGATAATGATTATTTCAAGTTTAAATTAATTAATTCTTTAAATTAATGTATTAATTCTATTTTTACCTTGTCGCGTGTTTCTTCATTTCAATTAGAGAGTATTTCTAGCTTTAAATCTAAAAGAGATACTAAAAGACCAATCATTATAGGTTCATCCTAATAGAAAAACAATGAAATATAAATAATTTTTTTCATTATTTTAAGAATATCTTGTGCAGGCTGAATAGTTGAAGCTGCTACTTTAGATTGAATATGATGGTGATGTGATGTTAATTGTTCTAGATTATTAAGTTTTGAGTTATCTTCTTTATCACTATCACTTAATCCAATTTCTTCATCTTCTTCATATTGAAAATTTGAAATATCTATAAAATAAATTATGATTAATTAGCAAAATAATTTTTATAATATATTATAATATAACTGATTTACCTTATTCTATTTCTAAATCTTCATTATTATCTTCACTATATTCAGCATATTTAAACTTGAGAATTTGAATCAAAGGATAAATAATTGATAAAGTTGCATAAGATGTTCTGCTAAAATATATAGTGTCATCTTAAAATAGCTCTAATATCTCTACAATTTGTTTTAATAAATTCTATTCATGAGGTAATAAAAGTCTCTTTTTAAGTCTTTTTTATTTACACGATTATCATAATTATTAGATAAAGATAATGTTACAGACAGCCATTCAATTACTTTACACAATTTTAATAAACAGTTCTAGAAATGATATTTGGAATTCTATTAGATCTTTATATTGGCAATATTTCGCAAAATTAGTTTTTGTGGATTTGTTGAAATATTTAATAGTAATTCATTTATATTATGATCATCATTATTAGAATCTTCATCGTTGGAATTATCAGAAATATCTTGATTAATATGTCTTTGACATTTCTTTTAAGCATTATCAAAACACTCATTTTGCTTAGAAAAATTTGTAAAAAAATGTATTAGATATTTAATTCGCTTAATATAAATATTAGTTTTTTTAAATGCATGATAAATTGAAAGTTGTAAGTTGTAATGTATGTATGGCACAAGATAAGCATTCAACATCATTCCATTGGTTAATTGCATTAATAATATTACTTCTATTATCAGTCACAACGCAAGTAATTTTTCCTTTCAATCCAAATTCAATAACTTTTTTTTTAAAAAAGATACAATATTTGTTCCAATATGAGGATATGGCATATATTTTATGCAAAGAAGACAATTATATACTTTAAAATCTTCTGATAACCAATGTAAACTTACACTAATATACCCATATTTACTTTGGCTGTCTAAAGGTCAGTTGTCAAAAAAGTAAATTCACAAGTATTTTTAAGCAATATTTTTAATTCTTCAATTGTATTTGTATATCTAGTATAAATTTTATCCTTTATTCTTTTATTAGATGAAATTGAAAATGCAAGGTCAAGAGTCATCATCATTTTTCAGTAATCTTTGCCTTGAATAATATTAAGTGGAAGATTATCAATAGTAATCCATTCAGCAATAGCTTGCCTAATTTCTTGATTTTGTGATTTCTTATGTGACTAAACTTTTATTCTTTTCATTAATTCTGGTATAATTAGTTGAATTAATTTATCTATTTGCTATAATTAAAAAAATAAAATTGTAAAATTTTTGATATGTATGTGATTGGTATTTAATATTTAAATTAAGAAATAATTTTCATATATAATATAGTCTTTGTTTAAAAAGATAGTATTACCTTATTCATTCTCTCATAAATGTTATGCTTTCCATGAAGATGATTTGTCATATTTTCTATAGATCCATCATACAAAAATTGTTGACTATAACATATTTCATTATTTTGCATATTCATAACTGAAACTTGACATATATTATACTTATTTTCTTAGATCATATATTGCTACACCCAACTAGTTTTAGTATATTTACGTTTGATTTATTTAATTTTACTTTTTTTTGCATGTGATTGATCTTTATTAAGAGAAACTATTGAAGATAATACTGTTAAAGAGGCTATTAGAGGGGTTATTAAAGGAGTATTACTAGAACCAATAAATATATCATCAAAGGTATTATCCATTTCTGAAACTGTATTAGAAAAATAATTCTAAATTATTATCATTTATCATAAATATTTTAGATATTTAAATTAAAAGTTAATATGTAAAGTGGTGAAAGAGTGAAGAATTGAAAAGCTGATTTATAGTAAAAAAGATTATTAAAAAGGCTTAAATTTAGTTAATTTTCACATGGATCAATCTGGTTTGAAAACTAGGTGAATTTAACACAGATATTCAATTTGTTAAATATTGATCTGTATCAACTTGATTTGGTAAGGGTAACCTGGATAATTATCAATCAGTTTTAATCTCTATAAATGATATAAAGATTTATAAAAAAAAGAAATTTTTAAAAACAATTAAGAAATTAAAATAATTTATAAAGTTAATCAATATTATATTATTATAAATAAAAATATTTAATATTTTATCTTATTATATAACTTTATAATAAATAATATTTTAAATAATAAATTGTAATTACTTATTTATTAATATATTAATTTTAATAATATTAATATTGATAACTTCTTTAAAATATTAAAACTAATATATGATGTTATAAAATTTAATTGAAATGTTAATCTTATAATTATTTTTAAATTATAAATAAATTATAATAAACTTAAAAAAAATAAATTATTTAATAAAATTATGAGATTATTTATGATAAAATATTAAAAAAATAATTTCAGATAAAGAATCTAAGGAATATGAATAAAAATATATATTAAAAATATATAAGTAAAGAAAAATATTTAAAAATAGGAATAAAAAAATATTATAAAATAATATAAATAAAATAAAAAAGAATAATGATAAGAATATAAGAGGAAAGTTTATATAAATAATTATAAATTATAGTAAATAAATTAAAAAGATAAAATATAATAACATAATAAGAAATATAATAAAGAATTATAATAAAAAGAAATACTTTGAAAAATAAAGATAAAAAAGTTTTATAAAATAGAAGTATAATATAGAAGTTAAATAAAAAAATTATAAAAAAATATTTATACAATATTATTCAAGTAAATAAATGATGAAGATAAAATTGTAAAGATAAAAAAATAATCAATGAAATAAAATTTAAAAAAGAATTAATAAATTATAGAAAAAATAAAAATAATTGAAGAATAATATACTAAAAAAAATAAAAGTAATATAAAATATTTAAATTCTTGAATAAATAAAATAAAATATATTTTTTAATAATTAGTAATAGAAATGTATTAAAAAAATACAAAAAATTATTAATTTCACAAAATATCAATAATTTGTTAAATTTAGATTTTAATAATGTCAATAAATATTTTATTTAATTATTATATTTTATAAAGATTATTTATTAATTATATTTTAATTATATATTTTTAAGAATTTTAAATTTAATATATATTAAAAATATATATTAATGTATTATAATAAAATTATATTTAATTTTTAAATATTTTTTAATTTAAAATATATTTATTATTAATATATTAATTTTTATATTAAATAATTTTTTTTAAAATATTTAAATTTATAAAATATATAAATCCTTTATTTTTTGATTTAAAAATTTAATTGTTAATAAATACTAAAATGAAATATAAATAAAGTAATTCTAATTAAAATTTTTTTAATTAATAAATAAAGTTTTTTAATAAGTTAATTGAATTAAGTTACAAGATAAAAATTTAATTTTTAAAGTATATTTTACTAAACTAGATTATACTTAAATAAAAATTTATAATTATTTAAATTAATATATAAGTTTATATATAAGTTAATTCAGAATTCTATTAATATATTACTAAATTTATTTAATTATAACTTAATTGATTAAATATTTAGTTATAATAATAATTTAATAAATTTAATTATTATTATATATAAATATTATATATTATTATTTAATCTTTAATAAAGTGAATTAAAATACTTAACTGATTAAGTAGTTGTTAAGTTTCTTAAACTTATGTTTAAATTAAAAAATTTTTAAAATAAAATATATAATGTTATATACATTGTAATGTGTAAAATTTTAGATTAGATTGATAGATTATGAAGTTAATTTTATTGCCAAGTAGATCTTTTATGAAGATCATTTTGTCCATTTTATTGCCATCGATCATTTATGCAAGTCCTTAGATATCAATTTTATTGTTCTTGATAATCATGTAGATTATAGATGTCTATTTAGTTACCTGCAGATCTGGCAATTTTATTGACATGGCAACTTTATTTCCTTCAATATATTTAGTTTAGTTTATTTTATTATTTATTCATTATATATAAATATCTCTGTATTTTCTTTAAATCTCAGTATATATGAATATTAATCTTTTAAATACTGAATTTATATATTATATTAATAAAGGAGTATAATTAACTAAGTATAAAACTTATTTTTTGCAACCTTTTGAAACTGTCATAAATTATTCATGATTCTTTACATTCGTATAATTTCTTTAATTATTATTAGTGAATTTGCTATATGATATTGTATTGATTTACTATATTTACTTGAAGTCTCTAAAGTGTAATTTCTAAAATATCTTTGAGTTATTTTTGTATTTATTTTGTGTTTACCTCACATGTTTTTATTTGAGAATAATTCTAAATATTATTGTGAATCCTCACCTATAATTTTTCAAGTAATTATCTTAATTTTATTTACTTTTTTTGAGATTTTAATTGAAGCTATAAAATTATCGTAATAATATATAATGCATCTTCTAATAAGAAAAAAGATTAAATATTTTTTTTTAATTATATCTTATTGTTTGTTTATAAATTAAATTTTAAAGTTAGAAAATATGAAGATTTTACTAATTTATAATAAATAAAATAAATTTTATATTCTATTAAATGCTTAATTTAGAGAGGTAACATCTTAAAATACTTTAAAATAATATGAATAATACTTTTAAGACTAGAAGAGTAACTTTTTTAATAACTTTAAATTAATAAAATTGTGTTTAAAACCTAAAAAGATGTTTTCTTTAATAATTTAAAAAAATTGCTTTTAAAGTTATCTTTATTTAAAAAAAATTATTTGCTAATTAGTTCTATTTTCTAACCTATTTTTTATTTTAAAAGTCTTATCTTATTTATATGTTTTAGAAATTTCTATTTTTTATTTTTCATTTTTTGTCTAAATCTTATATTTTTTTTTTATATTCTATTTTTTATTTTATGTGGTTAATTATATGACTAAATATATAAATTATTATATAGCTAAATATTATTTTATAATATTTTAATAATTACTATACTATTACTATATTACTTTATTTGATTTTCTTTTTATTTTCTTTTTGATATTTTTAATTTAGACTTATTACATTATAATTATTCCATTTTATTTTCTAATTTTTTTCTTTAATTTCTTTTAGCATCTGTAATTTAAGCTTGTATAATTCATTTCTCTTTTGAATAATTATTAAGGTTAATCATTTACTAGTCCAATTTGCTGATCTTTTATATTATACTAATATTCTGTAAATTATTTGTTATCTTACATATTCTAATTATTACATAATCTTTATAATATAATCTTTTTTTGTATTACAATATATAAATGTAAATTTTATATAAAAATTTTTATTTATTAAAATATAAAATCAAATTTATAAAAAAAAAAATATTTATTTATTTATTATCTCTTCAAGCGTTTTGTAGGCAAATTTGCCTGCAATTTTATTTAATAATTAAAATTATTTATAATAATTTTAAATATTTTTCAAATAATTTATT